AAACTGAGATCCTACTACTTGGACCCAAAGCAGAGAGATCTCAACTCTCCAAATTTAAACTAAATTTAGATGGCCATACCATGATGGACTTAACTTACAAATGGTTTGCCTCTCTCTTGCTCTCTCTCCTTCTATCTTGTCTATGAGCGGATGACTGTCCTCCCTGCTTGATCGTGATGGATAATTTTGGAACGTCGAGTAGCTTCCAGCATCATGGAATTCTCCAGGATTTACATGCAGTAAGTCTTATGATAAGGTGCAATATCTACCTGTCTGTCCTGCTAATCAATCCCTCTCTCTCTCTCCGTCTCTCTCTCTCTCTCTCCCCCTTTATCTGAGCCCCTGAGCGAAGTCGCCACATGGGAGCCACCAGAGCTGCTAGAGTCGCCCGAGCTCGATCTCCGTTGGCTGATCTGCACCATTTTGACCACCATGGAGTTTCACGCTGTACAAAGCTGTGCAAACCTCACCTGTATGAACTGACCCTCCTGCTGCTGCTGCATAAACTCAGACTATCCAATTAACCGTTGCTCCACCTGTTTTTCCCTGTTTGGTATTCTAATATTTTATTCTAATGCTGTTTGCTGTCCGGTGTGGTCCAGAGGAGGATGGGTTCCCCTTTTGAGTCTTGGTTCCTCTCAGTGTTTCCTCTTCTTGCTCTTAGGGGGTTTTTCCTTGCCACTGTTGTCATTGGCGACGCTCATGGGGGCTCAGACCTGGATTTTTCTGTAAAGCTGCTTTGTGAGAACACCTGTTGTAAACAGCGCTACATAAATAAACTTTGACTTGACTTTTGACTTTTGCAGTAACAGTCTGAAACTTTTAATTTGGGAAATAATCTGTATGAGAATCAATAACCTTCAATCAATCAATACATTTGTATAATTTACTTCAACTATTAGTTTCCTAGTGTGTGTTTACATAAATAAAGATAGTGTGTGAGCGTGAGTGTGTGTGTGTGTGTGTGTGTGGGGGGGGGTGTTGGGGGGGTTACAGAGTTGCTGTTACAGAGAACTGTGAACTCTGACTCTGAACTCTGCTGCAGCTTCAGCACATCTGATCATTTAAACTAATAATAAACAATGATAAATAAATTAATAATGAATAATTTTCAGTTTTATCTCTAGAATTTAAATCGATCCGTTATTATAATCGTCTAATAGTTAATATATCTGTGTCAATCCAAATAATGAAAATGATCTCAAATGTACTGATCTTGGCTCTGAGGGAAACATAAGTCTGTTAACTTAAATTAACTACCTGGATAGCAGAGTTTTAGCTCTTACCACAGATCCAGGAAAGAGAGGAAATGAAAATAAAAAATATGCTTGACTTCAGGTAATGGTTTTTTCATAGCAGTTCATAAAATGAACCACGTTCAAAATCCTTCTAATTTCAGCCCACAATCACTTGACCTTTTTGATCATCAGAATGTTCGTCAAATTTGATCGTCAAAATTTCTAATTAAGAGTTGCTAAGTAGACTTCTGATCCGAAATGGTCAAATTCATGAAGTGATAAAAAAAACTGTTAGCATTCATATAGCAAATGATGACATATCTGGGTATCTGAGGAACTCCTGAAAAAGAAAAAGAAAAAATCTATATTCCATGTGTGACTGTCTCATGTATTTACATTGTAATTGTACTTAAGTAAAACCCAAAAGAACTACACAGTATTAGCTGAGAATCTAAAAGTGCAGTGAGATGTTCCATCTAGTGCTGAAGAACCCTGTTCCACAGTGAGGAGAACCCCCCAAAGAGAGAACAGTGCTCACTACTGTAGTGTTTTGGAGTTGATGAGTTCAGTTGAGTGCAGCTTTAGCAGCTGTTCTCAGATCAGTGAGAGTTTCTGAGTCAGAGCAGTTCCTCTACAGCTGAGGGAGGTTTTTGTATCGCGCTCTAACACTGTGTGAGTGGATAACTCTGATACTGCTGACAGTAATAATCTCCTGCATCTTCAGGCTGAACTCCACTGATTTTTAGAGTAAAATCTGTACCGTATCCACTCCCACTGAAACGATCTGGAACACCAGACTGACGGGTAGATGCACTATAGATCAGGAGTTTAGGAGCTTCTCCAGGTTTCTGCAGATACCAGGCAAGACTGCTGTAAACGCTCTGACTGGCTCTGCAGCTGATAGTAACAGAGTCTCCTGGTGAAACAGTCTGAGATCCTGGAGTCTGAGTCATAATTATGTCCCCAAAGGACTCTAAAGAAAATACAGAGAGAAACATTTCAGTACATCAGAACATCTGTGTTTTAGCTGTAAACAGAAATTTAATACAAATATTAAAAGGAGGTTATTGTGGCTCCTCAGAACTGAACTTTAACCTCTGACATTTACCTTGAGTCCAGAGGGTCAGTGTCCAGATGAAGATGGAGACCAAAGTCATGGTTGCTGTGGGTGAAGTTTGTGGGGCAGCAGCTCTCAGTCATGAAGTGTTAAACTCACAGGACTATAAACACTAGCAGAGCACTGAAGCATGGGCTGATAATGCAAAGTGGAGCCTCTATGGAAATGGACTCACCAAACACCTCTATAATAAACACATATGATTATTTAGATATGATTATAAAGTATTAGCTCAGTTCTGTTAATTCAGTGTCAGACGTTCATTTCTAAAGGTCATAAATAGTTGATGAGTGTAGAAGAGTTCAGGGTAAACAGTGATGAGTGATGGAGGTTTATGTACAATGACTTCACTGAAATGTATCACTGTGGTTCACTTTCAGTGGAGGAACCAAACTCACTGTGAAAAGAGACTTTTATTCTATTTAAAGATTCATTTAAATCATTCTCCTTATTAGTTACACTGAAAATATTCACATATATAAAATCAGAAATAATACACAGTGCTGATATTTCTGTCTGTACTCTGTTCAGTGTCCTGTTGCTGTAGCTGTGCTTTTGCTGAGCTGAAATAAAGCTTCATTCTGGACATTGTGAGTTCTTTACTGTAATGAATGGTGATGGTCAGTGTTGTTAGAGAGGGAGTTCAGCTGTAGATTCAGTGCAGTGCTGTGTGTTGATCTTGAGGGAGTTTGGCTGAATTAAGCTGAACATCTGGTGAAAGTGCTGCTCTATTCTGGGAGAAAGAGGACGACTCAGGCCTGTTCATGCAAATCTGAGTTTCACCCCACTGCTCTCTCTCTCTCTGTCTGACTGTTTACTGCTTAAAACTGCTGGTTTGTGTTCAGCTGGGTGGGCTGTGGGGGGCTGGTTTCACTTCTTACTTTAGTGCTTCCACTAACTGTCAGTGTACCCAGGTCAACCAAGCATTTATTGGTAACAACAACCCAAATGTAGAACAAACAGACACTTCTAATTCTTTGCCCTCAGTTTTCATCCTCCTTGACATGTCATCTATCTTTGACTGTGAACCCCCAGAACTTCTTCTCATCTTCAGGATCAATCCTACAAGGTGGCCTGGAAAGGGTATGTCTGGGCTCCTGACAGCCTCACTATTGGAGTTCCCCAAGGGGCAGCTTTAGGTCCACTTCTGTTCTCCTTGAACACAAAATGACCGGGATTAGTTACTACCTCTAACTGTTACACTCACCCAGCTCAATGTGGTGGCAACATAAAAAGACAGACTACATGTTAATTACATTTATGCAAAAATGTTAGATCACTTTTTTTAAATGATTAAATTGCAAGGTGCTAGAAGACAGGGAGCTCCAGGGCACACTGCAAACACAGCTTTTAGTCTCAGGCCTCAGTCCAAGCTGGCATTGTGAACATCAGCAGCACCTGATTCCAACTCCACCTTGCTAGGAAAACAAAAATAAAAAACACAAAACTGAACCAGGAAAAAGGAAAACATGGAATGGAACCAGGCAGGGCCTTGACAATATGAACACAACACAAACTGGACTGAACAAAGTGATCTGCATGAGTCGTGTAAAAGATTTCCATAGTAACATAGTTTTACTTCACTACAGTGTGAAATGCCCCCTTCCTGACACTATAAGGTTTTAGCAATAATACAGTTCTTTATTTGTTTAAACTGAAATATTCTATGATGTGTATTCCTGATGAAATCTATAACATAAGAGACACTCCTTTCTCTCATTTGGTCACTTGCTTGTTTTGGTGTCATAACACTGTCATCACCCCTGCAGAAGGTTGTGTTTCTGTCCAAGTAAGTGTTTCTATCCATCTGTCTTGAATAGTCCAGCTAATATCAGTCTGGATTCATGTTTTATTCTTTCTAATTTTAGGTCAATTAAGACCTTAGTCAGTCCATCACAGTTGATCTGTGCTGTTTATATGATCATATCTGAGACTAACAGTCTTAGGCCCAGTCCCATTTCTTATTTTTAACCCTATCCCTTGTAGTCGAGTGTCACGTTACCCTTGGAATTGAGTTACAACAGGTAGTGGTTTAAATGTTCCTCTGAAATGGGACCCTCGAATCAAAAAGAGCATCACTTCATTAACAGCTACCAGTGCTGCTCTGTAGGCGACCTTGCCAGTCTGCAGTGACAGCAGAGGAGGGTAAAGTTCAGCTCCTCACTGCTGGGCTTTAGTTACATTTAGGGCATCATATGACTTCAAAGAGGGGGGCAGTTATTTATTATCACCCACCCCTAATGCTTCAATGATACGAAGCTGAAGTCAGATATTTGCCAGCTTCTTGTAAGAATTTCCCGTTCCACCTTAAATGGTGCAGCAGTTATATTATGGTGCTTCAGGCGTCAGAACTGCTGGACTATTTAAGGTTGAAGGGGTAATTTAGCTAGCTAGCGAGACATTAGCATGCTATTAGGGGTTTTTTATGCTTGTTATGAAGAAAAGGACCATAATACACTGAAACGACATTAAACTAAGATAATACAGTGGTTATGGTAATTTTTAAACAGAGGAAATCCTCATATTTGTGGGTTCCTTTGGTCTCTGGCATATATATGTATATATATATATACACATACTTCACCTTGCATTATGAAATTATGAATTATGTCAAAATGTTATGTGATGGTGCTGTAGAAGAACATGTAGTGTGTTTGTTCTGAGGGAAATAATGGGAGTATAAACAGTGTAATCAGTGCAGTGGTGAATGAAGCTCCAGCTGATTCTCCTGTGCTCTTTATCACAGTGTACAGAGAGTAATGGTGCAGCAGGAACATGGCCAGTGAGAAAACCCACAGCAGCGTTCCTGCACGCCTCCCAGTTCCACACTCCAGGATCAGTAGTGGGAGTTTTATTGATCAGTGTGGGAGGGTGGAGCTCCAGGAGGCTGCTGGGAGGGGCTGAGGTGGGCTGTGGCTCCCCCTGCTGGTCAGTCTGCCTGTCAGACTCCATGGTGGATCACTCTGTCTAACAGCACACCAACTGCTACTGACCACTGTTTTCATCAGATCCAGTTAGACTCTTGGGAAGTTCTGCACTGTAGGAACACAGAACAACAGTGTGAGTCGTGTAGTGTGAAAGGAGTTGAGAGTGAAAGAGCAGCTTAAAATCAGACTCAAGTAAAAGTGTTGATACTTCAGTGAAATCATGACTGAAGTAGAAGTAAAAGAACAACTTGAGTAAAAAAAGTGTCAGATGTAAAATCGACTTGAGCTCTGAGTTTCTCAGACATGAACCGTGATTTTTAGAGCCAGACCTACAGTTCAGGTCATTAATATCAAAATTGTCATAAATAAATAATAAATAAATAAATAAAAGGACAATTAATCTGCTGTAGATCAAATGTTGAGTGTACAGGATTAATTTGTAACAAATCATGTGAAAGGTCTAGATTGTGAGATTAGCATCTCTATGGGGTTTGTAATGTAATGTTAGCACCAAGCTAACGGTGGTGCACATGTTGAATAAAACCAGTTAAACTGCTTGTTACCTCATTAAGTAATTATTTAGGCTGAACAGACAAACTATTGTTTACAGTCTACTCACCTCTGAATATGATCTCCCAATAAAAACTGCTGAGTCTGAGTTTGTTGAAGGATTTCTTCAGGGACTCCCTCTTTCTCAGGACTGAGAGAAACATCCATTTCATAATCTGTCCAGATCCTTATAATAAACTTTATAATAAATGAGACTCTAGCTGAACTCTACAGCTAGTTCCAGACCTGTGGAGATCAGGAAATAAATCCCTAAAATCACAAAGCATTTACAGTCTAATGAAAAGAAGAACAAATTCCATCTAAAGTCCTGATTTCCACAGAGTGTGTTATTGTGTGTGTCCATCCTCCCCCTCAGCACCTGCAGTAGAGTCCAGCTGCAGCAGTGCAGTCTCTGTGCAGCTGACTGAGGGAGCTTTTTGTACACCTACTAAACACTGTGGGAACACGTAGCTACCACTGATACTATGTGTACTCTGACAGTAATAATCTCCTGCATCTTCAGTCTGGACATTACTGATGGTCAGAGTGAAGTCAGATCCAGATCCACTGCCACTGAAACGAGCTGGAATACCTGACTGTAACTTTTTAGCATATCTAATCAGGAGTTTAGGAGCTTCTCCAGGTTTCTGCTGATACCAGAACATGTAATCATCCCCATCACTATCACGATGAACTGCAGGGTTGGTTCTACAGCTGATGGTGACTGAAACTCCTGGAGAAATAGCTTTCACTGCAGGAGTCTGAGTTACAGTGACCTGACCACTGGATCCTGAAAATAAGTTGAGAAAAAAATAAGGAAAATAAACATGTGAACATATTTTGAATGAAAATTAATAGAAACACATACCATATATAAAAGCACTGGATTTACAAAAATGTAATTACTCAAAGATAATTGAGTGAGTTACCTTGAGTCCAGAGGGTGAGTGTCCAGATGAAGATGGAGACCAAAGTCATGGTTGCTGTGGGTGAAGTTTGTGGTGCAGCAGCTCTCAGTCATGAAGTGTTAAACTCACAGGACTATAAACACTAGCAGAGCACTGAAGCATGGGCTGATAATGCAAAGTGGACCCTCTATGGAAATGGACTCACCAAACACCTCTATAATAAACACATATGATTATTTAGATATGATTATAAAGTATTAGCTCAGTTCTGTTAATTCAGTGTCAGACGTTCATTTCTAAAGGTCATAAATAGTTGATGAGTGTAGAAGAGTTCAGGGTAAACAGTGATGAGTGATGGAGGTTTATGTACAATGACTTCACTGAAATGTATCACTGTGGTTCACTTTCAGTGGAGGAACCAAACTCACTGTGAAAAGAGACTTTTATTCTATTTAAACAGGAGATTCATTTAATCACCTCATTATCAGTTACAGATCATGATGATCAGCTTGTCTGAGGTCAGTGAGATTCTCCTGTATGAAGACATTCACAGGTTTTAATGAGAGGTTTGAACTGTTTTTATGACACTTCATCTGATGTTAGTTAGATTATGAGTTAGGAAAGTTCTAGTTGTTCCACTGTGTAAAGAGGAACTAGTAAATGTTCTCCAGTGCTAGAATGCATTAGTGCTGCTGCAGAGTGTCCAGTTCTTTTGAGTTTAGTCTGAGTTCTTTACTGTAATGAATGGTGATGGTCAGTGTTGTTAGAGAGGGAGTTCAGCTGTAGATTCAGTGCAGTGCTGTGTGTTGATCTTGAGGGAGTTTGGCTGAATTAAGCTGAACATCTGGTGAAAGTGCTGCTCTATTCTGGGAGAAAGAGGACGACTCAGGCCTGTTCATGCAAATCTGAGTTTCACCCCACTGCTCTCTCTCTCTCTGTCTGACTGTTTACTGCTTAAAACTGCTGGTTTGTGTTCAGCTGGGTGGGCTGTGGGGGGCTGGTTTCACTTCTTCCTTCAGTGCTGCTTCGTAGTCGTAGTGTATCATCCCTCATTAAACTCATCAGGTAATTCTAAAGCCCTTCATGGGTTTAGTTCAGTGTGTCAGACTAAGACTACAAAAGTATGAGGACTGTAGAGTATTCAGGGCTGGAACTGAGAACCAGTGTGAGGAACCTTTGAGAATAAACTACTGAACTGTCAGGCAGTTAAAGGACTGTGAGAGGAGAGATCCACTGATGCTGCTCCAAAGCCTTTATTGATCCAAGCTGAGAACTTTCCAACACAGCACAGCAGCTCACGGCTCAGAGCTGCACTCATTCATTAGCTTGTGTGGTCTGAAATAAACTAGAGTGAAATAAACACCACAGCAGTTTAAGTAGTCTAGAGAATTAACACATCACCTTCAAGCAGTAATGAAGTCTACACTACTGTTTAAGACTCATCACAGGCTTTAACTACAAGTCCACCAGCACCAAAATCTCTGTTTAACGTATACAACAGCGCCTCCTTGTGGGTGAAGCGTGTCACTTTTCACTTACGTGACTACAATCACTAGAAAGGCTGACACTCTGCTTTCACAGTGAACAGACATGGTATATAAACAGGGCACCATCACCAAATAAAGAGAAATTCTCTGTGTTAGAGCTACAGTTGAGTGATAATCCTGTACCAAATCAACATCAGGCTGATCTGTGACCTCATGACACTGTACTACTCCATAAACACTGGTGTTATTTAGATTTCAGTGAACTCACACATTAAATATGTAAGACCAGCATTACTGAACTGTGTGTGATGTGTTGGATATGATCAGGACATAAGAGCAGTGTCTATGTTTACGTTACCATGGCAATGCCACGGCCATAATAATAATAATAATAATAATAATAATAATAATAATAATAATAATACGTTTCTGATTAGCTGACTATGATTATTATAAACTGCATAAAGAGTTTGAATAATGATGTCACTGCAGTGATTTAATGGGACATTTATTAGCTTTACCCTTCCTGGATCGGGGCCTTGGCATAGTGGAAGGACTTGTGTATTTTAGGGATCTTCAGAGTGATGTCGTCTGGAGCAGTATCCTCCTGGTAGGGTCTGCCAAGGTGAACCAGTCTGGAGTGAAGACCCAGGGAAAGCTGATATTAATGCAAGTGTATGGTGTTCGCTTGGAGTCACATTAAAGCTTTGTTACGTACTCGATCTTCCTATTGTCTACGTTATTGGGAGAACCCCCCTCATCACAACACACCTCCACTGGACACACTGAACACTGCTGTTCTCTTTAATGTATTTTAAGTTGTTTATTTTATCAACATATATATTTTTTTCATATTCCTTTCATGTTTATTTATGTCTGGATGGTGAAAATGGTGATGTTCTATATCAGTGTATTAGTTCACTAACACTGTACTCACTGTAGATCACTGTTCTATTGTCACACGCTGTTGCCATAAGGCAACCCCACCAGAAGAACCACATACAAATATTTATTTAACAAATGATTATATTAATTAAGTTATTTTTAAACAGAAAAATCATAAAAAGATTTTCATATAAATTTAATAACTCATCCAGTAAAGGGTTCAGTAGCTGCATCATGATGGTAGAAATGTTTTGTGAGACGTTTCATTCGTCAGTTATGCTCTTTCATATTAAACACTCACAGAGCTGTAAACACTTCTGTAAACAAGAACCTGGTCTTTATTTAAACTGAGGGGCTGACAGCTTTAATCTGTTCATGCTTATATGATCAAACACTAATAAGCTGATGAAATGACTGGAATGATAAACAAATTTTAAATGAACTTAGTCTTATTTTTATTCATGTAATCAGAATTGCTTTTTCTGCAACAATAAGTTTTCAATTGCAGGAGAACACTAAAGTATGCTATGGGCCAATACCATCAATGTTAACGTCAGTTAGTAATTCTGAACTGGAGTCATGTACAGAACCTGTAAATCCAATGTACGCATCTAGGAATCTGGCCCGGTGGTCACATACAGCCTGGAGATGAATAGATGTGAAGAGCTTCCGATTTCTGTAGCACCCAGTATCTGGCTCTCCCAGGGCTTTACTGCGGATATGACATCCATCTATGGCTTCCTTTGCTCTTCTGAAAGCAGAGTTTTGGGCAAGCCTTTCAAATCCAGCACCAATTGTCTGCTGTTCCTCTGCTGTTGTCGGCACACAGATGACTTTGCTCAGCTCCTCTGATACTAGGTGGACAATTCTACAGACAGTGGTCCTGGGTATGCTGAATGCCCTGGACACCACCCGATACGAAGCTCCACTAGCAAGCCAGAACAGAAACACTAACACTTCAATGGTGGGTCCCCACCCATGATGGCGTTCTTGATCCAGCATCCTCAACAAGACGGCCAGTGACTCCCTGTTGAGTCGAAAATCAGGACGGGTGTCTCGCTCTGTATTAAAATACACATAGCTGATATTTTTTAATATCTGGGAAGTCAAAACCCCCTCTCACGTCCGGAAGATGTAAAACTGCCATTTTTAGTCATGGCCTCTTCTTAGCCCATATAAAGGAACTGAACCACTTATCTGGAGTTTTAAGAGACTTGCTTGGGAAAAGGACTGGAATCATCCGTATAGGGTAAGGCAGTCTTGGAAAGATATTCATTTTTATCAATGCTATGCGGCCTATCCAAGAGATAGGGACAGCATGCCATCTCTCCAAATCTAGTTTGATACGATCCAGCAATGGAGTGAAGTTTGTTCTGAACATCTGATTAAATGTAGGGGTTATGAATACTCCTAAGTATGTAAGGCCTGTCTCTGACCACTGAAAAGGAAAAGGTGATGGATTTCGTGGTGTGTGTTTTAAGCTACCCATGGGCATAGCTATGGACTTAGTTGAATTGTTTTTATAACCTGAAAAAAGACTAATGAGGCTAGGGATTGATATGTGTGGGTTAGAGAGAAAAATCTAAATATCATCAGCATATAATGTGATTTTGTGTGATGATGTATTGATGTTTGATGTATTCAAACCATGTATGTGAAGATCTGTTCTTATTGCCTCAGCTAATAGCTCTATTGCTAAATTGAACCAGGAAGGCGAGAGCGGGCAGCCTGGTCTCGTGCCTCGCTGAATACTAAAATTATCAGATCGTAAACCATTAGTGAGAACCGCAGCCATAGGGTTATTGTAAAGAACCTCGACCCACTTAAGAAAATTTTCACCTAATCCAAATTTAAGTAAAGTATATACAAGGTATGTCCACTCTATGCTATCAAATGCCTTTTCTGCATCTAATGAAATCACCATCCCATCTACAGCCCTTTTCTAAAAAAGTAAAAATACTATTTAAAAGTCTGCGAACATTATTACACGAATTACGGCCCTTAATGAAGCCTGTCTGATCTTCTTTAATAACACAAGGCAGCAAACTTTCCAGTCGGGCTGTTAATATTTTCGAGAGAAGCTTCAAGTCTACGTTTAAAAGAGAAATGGGCCTATAGGAGGCGCTGTCCTCTGGTGGTTTTCCCTTATTTAAAATCAGAGATATATTAGCTTCTCGTAAGGATGTAGGCAGAAGACCCTTGACAAAAGAGTCATTAAACATATTCAGTAATGGGTCAACACATACACATACAGAGATTCTGAAATTCTTTATAAAACTCACTACCCAGTCCATCCGTGCCAGGGGCCTTACCACACTGCAGTTCCTTAACAGCACTGAGCACCTCTTCTTTGGAGATTGGAGAATTGAGAGCCAATTTCTGATTGCCTGTTAAAGTGGGGAGCTTAAGGGAAGAGAAAAAGTCATCCATTAATTTTGGGGCATCCGAAGGTAATTTGGACTTATACAGACTTTTATAAAATTCCCTAAAAGTACTGTTAATAATTTTAGCCTCCTGAGATGTGTTTCCCTGCACATCAGGAACTGAAGATATGATTTGAGAGTCTGCCTTTTTCTTTGTAAGGTATGCCAGATATCTCCCTGCCTTATCACCATGTTCATACAAACGTTGTTTAGCAAATTTTATTTTCACCTCTGCATCTTTTGTCAGAAGGGAATCTAGAGCTGAGCACAGGGCGGTAATGTCTTTCAATCTTGCTGGTGATGGATTCTTAATATAAGCCTTTTCTACTAATTTCAATCTAATATTTTTTGTTGTTTATGCTGCTTACGTTGTCTATATGACGTATAAGATATAATGACCCCTCATGAAAAGGCCTTTAAAGTTTCCCATAACAAGGATGGATTGTCAGTGGACGGAGAGTTAAAAGACATAAATGATTCTAATTCTGATGTAAAGTATGCTAGAAATTTATGGTCATTCAATATTGAGGGGTTAAGTCTCCAATGTCTGGATTGTGGTAATGAATCACGCAGCTCAACCTTCAAAAAAACTGGTGCATGGTCAGATAGGGTTATATTACCAATCGAGCTAGAAATTACACACTGCAGTCGCCTACTAGGGATAAAGAAGTAATCTATTCTCGTATGACATTTATGAAGGTTTGAGAAAAAAGTAAACTCTCTATCTGCAGGATGCTGGGCTCTCCAAACATCAACATAATCTAAATCCTCACATATAGCATTTAGAGCCTTGAGAGGATAGTGATATTGTACCCATAGGAAATTTATCTATCATAGGGTTCAAATGACAATTAAAATCCCCCCAACAATTGAATTACTAACATTCATGTCAGTCAATTTTGAAAAAGCAGAGGTAAGAAACGCAAATGGTGACCAGGGGGGTAATATACATTCATAATAGCCAGCTCCTCCCCATACAAAATACCCTTCACAATCAAATATCGACCCTGACTGTCCTCAACACAGGACAACAGTTTGAAAGGTAAGTTTTTCCTCAGCAGTATAGCTACTCCTCTACTCCTAGTAGTGAATGAAGAAAAGAAGACCTGCCCAAAACCATTCTGCTGCAGTTTTAAATGTTCTGTATCATCCAAATGAGTCTTCTGCAACAGAGCAATATCAACTTGCTCTTTTTTAAGAAAACTTAAGATCTTTCTTCCTTTGATAGGTGTATGGATACCCTTAACATTCAAAGTACAAAAATTCACTACGCTGGCAGCCATTTTCTTACCGGAAACAGAAAATAGAGAAAGAAGTTTTTAAACATCAAACTATGCAATCTGTAAGCCAACATAACGTATTTCAAAATAAAAATAAGATGGGAAATAACAACAAACACACAACTATAATACATATAAACCTGCACTCTACCTTGAGAGCTAGCCGCGCAGGCAAACATAGGGGTCACAGTAACGTCTCTTATCACGGAACTCCGCAGGAAAGACAGCAGAGGCACTAAAGTCCAAGCTCCAGCATTAAAGTTAACTGTCCTTTCCTCCAACACATGTTCAAAAAGATCTCATAAAAGTAATACAAGCAATGCACACTGCTAAACAGAGAAATGAACGAGCTCAGTTATTTACTGCTGGATAATGACTCACTCAACCTGCTGAGACGTCGGTAGCTGATTCACGTAAACCATAAATTTCTCAACCTCAGCCGGATCATCGAACACTTTGGAAAGGCCATCATGCACCACTTTAAGTGAAGCGGGGTAGAGATGCATGTAAGTTGCGCCCACGGCCCTCAACCGTTTCTTCACCCCGTCAAATCGCTTGCGCTTACGTAGAGTAGCAGCTGAAAAATCATGAAAGATGAACACCCTCGAATTTCCGTAATGAGCTTGTGTCCACTGCTTCCAATCTTCCTTGCTGCGTCCATCACACGCTGCTTGTCAGTGTAGTTGTGAAACCTTATGAGAACAGGTCGCAGGCGCTGAATCGAGTCGGGCTTGGGAGCCAGTGTGCGATGGGCTCGTTCTATCTTTATGTTCCCTATCGGTGTTTCAATATTCAAGAGATCTAAAAGCCATGCCTCGAAGAACTTAACTGGCTGGTCTCCCTCCACCTCCTCCGGAACACCGATAATATGAATGTTCTTTCTTCTTCCTCTGTTTTCTAAGTCGTCAATGTGTTCGGCCATTTCGCGCACCTGTTTCTCCAGAGTTTTCAATCGTTTTTCCGCCGGGGCGACAGCATCTTCCACCGCCGACACTCTGGCTTCAGCTTCGGTAAGCCGCTTTTCATGATCATTCAGTGTCTCTCCATGAATCTGAAGCATTTGTGATAAAGGTCCAAGTTTTTCATCGATCACTTTGGAAAGATTGTCTGTTTCCTTTATCACCTGACGAAGCCCAGAGTCAAGCAGGTTCGAGCTTGCCGAAGAGTTAGCATCGCTAGCTTGCGACATTAGCTGTGTGGCTTGTTGGCCAGCTTCTACGTCCGGCTTAGGTGAGTTCTTTGTGCTCCTTTGCGGCATATTATCAGCAGTATGTCTCAAAAAGTAAGTATCAAGGCTCATATTAGTCTGTCAGCACTCCGTGTGGAGAAAAAAAACCGACGTTTTGCGAGAAATGTTGAAAATATTAATGAAGAGGTGCGCTGCCTCTGCTGACTCCGACCGCTACTCAAGCCGCCATCTTGAAACCCTAATTAAGTTTATTTTAAATAAAGTAATGAATGGTTATTTCTGTCCCCCTTTTATAAATCCTTAGTTTTATCTCAGTAACAGTAATAGTGTTTCCCCCACATTCTGCCATTCAACAGCCGAGCTAAGCTTTAACAGGCAATTGTTTTAATTATTAAAACATCTAACGATCGTATGATTTATTATAAATTACTACATACACACATTTATTACGAATAAAGTAGACCCTACTCTGTGGTGTTGGGAGGTGTGTGAAGTGAGTAAATGGAGACAGAGTCTGTAATCTGAAGTGAGATTTACAAACTTTTAATTTTTACCAGTAATATTTGTGTCAGTACGTAACCGGGCGTAGGTCTCCTCCTTATAGCGGTCCGATCTTCTTCATATATGAATTCCCACAACAGCATTAAAGCGAGAAAAATCATGGCTGCTACTTCGGGATCCATCGTGCTCCTGATCCAGAGATAAGCTAGGAGGCTAACTGAAGTGAGTAACAGTGAGTAAACAGACCTCAGTGCGCTAGAAGTTATGACGTATGATGTCTACCGAGGACTGTCCCGAATGCGATGCCTGCTAAGGTTCCTTTTCGGTTAAAATGCTGCCCAACAAGAGAGCCGCCTGTGAAGGCAGTGGCTAGTTAGGCAGCTGCCCTCAGAATGGAACACACTATGTGTGTGTAGGGTGTATTGTACTAAGTGTGTTTATCTGCTGCTGTTTTTCTTCAAACATTCCTGCTACTAGTGAGATGTTCCATCTAGTGCTGAAGAACCCTGTTCCACAGTGAGGAGAACCCCCCAAAGAGGGAACAGTGCTCACTACTGTAGTGTTTTGAAGTTGATGAGTTCAGTTGAGTGCAGCTTTAGCAGCTGTTCTCAGATCAGTGAGAGTTTCTGAGTCAGAGCAGTTCCTCTACAGCTGAGGGAGGTTTTTGTATCGCGCTCTAACACTGTGTGAACGGAGAGCTCCAACTCTGCTGACAGTAATAATCTCCTGCATCTTCAGGCTGAACTCCACTGATTTTTAGAGAATAATCTGTACCATATCCACTCCCACTGAAACGATCTGGAACACCAGACTGACGGGTAGAAGAAGAATAAATCAGGAGTTTAGGAGCTTCTCCAGGTTTCTGCAGATACCAGGCAAGATTGCTGTAAACGCTCTGACTGGCTCTGCAGCTGATAGTAACAGAGTCTCCTGGTGAAACAGTCTGAGATCCTGGAGTCTGAGTCAGGATTATCTCCCCAAAGGACTCTAAAGAAGAAGAAGAGTGAAATATTTCAGTTTATCAGAATTTTTTTGTATTAGTTGTAAACAGAAATCTAATATCAGTAATAAGGGGGTTAAAGTGGCTTTTCAGAACTGAAATTTAACCCTGATGTTTACCTTGAGTCCAGAGGGTGAGTGTCCAGATGAAGATGGAGACCAAAGTCATGGTTGCTGTGGGTGAAGTTTGTGGGGCAGCAGCTCTCAGTCATGAAGTGTTAAACTCACAGGACTATAAACACTAGCAGAGCACTGAAGCATGGGCTGATAATGCAAAGTGGAGCCTCTATGGAAATGAAGTAAAGTATCTCTATAATAAACACAAATGATAATTAAGAGAATATTAAAATATTAGCTACTTTCTGTTATTTCAAAGAGGGGCAAGATTTTTTTTTATGATGACTTTTTATTTTTGCACTCCTCAGGTAAGAGTTACCATCATATTGAGAGACAACCTTACAAATGTAAAACACATATTTAGAAGGACTAATTAGGGCTCTTTCAGGAGGGAAAGGACAAAACAAAAACAAACAACAAACCCAGGAAATAAATACAAAACAATCACAGAAAAATAGTAGAATGTGATCATGCAGCAGTAATAGCTGATAAAACGGATGAATAAAAGCACTTGAGAAAGTTTGATATATAAATCCAGAATGGAAACCTGATTCACCAAAACTGATCAGATTTTCAATGCAGGTCAAAAGGTAATTACAGAAGAGGAAGTCAGGAGGTTGTTTGTGAGACCATAGATTCAGTGATGGAGCCTGAGGAGCAGAAAACACTGTTTACTGTGAAGATCAACAAAGAAAATATCTGTCTTGACTGATAGTCAAATGTAGCCTCAAGCTGGACATTCAGCAATTAGAGTTTAGGGCACTCTGTAAACTGTATGTGTAGAATTTCTGTAATAAACTGCTTTCTAGAAAGTTCTGTTTTCATTACAATCTAAGAGGAAATAAAAGTGCCTTTTCAGACTGACGTTTCAAACAGAGCTCAGATCTGTCTGGAAACTTAAAATGAAGTCCACACACACTGATAGAGCCACACTTAGGATACAGATGTGAACAAATGGAAAACCACACGTCTAAATCAAACACCTCTTCCAGACCTCTTTCACAGAAAAGCCCTCTAGACTTGTGGCCCACTGTCACACTGGATTCATCTCACAGCATAACATAAATCAGTGAAACTAAACTTGAACATCAGTAAAGGAGTCTGATTTTGAAGCCCATATTTCTCTAGGATTTTCAAAACTTCTTCTGTGTAATTCCATGTTTAAACCAGTTTACCAGTCCTGTGTTGTTTAACTAAGAAGGAAAATCATAGTTGGTACAAGAACTTCATTTAAATGTATCACTGTGTTTCACTTTAAGTGGAAGAACAAGTCACTTTCCTACTGTTTAAACATGAAGAGACTTAATTATTCAGTAAATCAATTAGACATTCATCAGTGTTAAATTGTTAAGAGTTCTTAATGTTAAATATAGAAGATAAACCAGTTTTAGACTAATAATGAATCTAAACTGAGTAAGTGATTCATTGTGTTGGTGTAGTTTAAATTCAGATCATTGTACATTATTGAAAAACAGTTCAAATCAGCACCAACACTGATTCAGATCATGATGAACAGCTGGTTTGAGGTCAGTGAGATTCTCTGTATGAAGACATTCACAGGTTTTAATGAGAGGTTTGAACTGTTTTTATGACACTTCATCTGATGTTAGTTAGATTATGAGTTAGGAAAGTTCTAGTTGTTCCACTGTGTAAAGAGGAACTAGTAAATGTTCTCCAGTGCTAGAATGCATTAGTGCTGCTGCAGAGTGTCCAGTTCTTTTGAGTTTAGTCTGAGTTCTTTACTGTAATGAATGGTGATGGTCAGTGTTGTTAGAGAGGGAGTTCAGCTGTAGATTCAGTGCAGTGCTGTGTGTTGATCTTGAGGGAGTTTGGCTGAATTAAGCTGAACATCTGGTGAAAGTGCTGCTCTATTCTGGGAGAAAGAGGACGACTCAGGCCTGTTCATGCAAATCTGAGTCTCACCCCACTGCTCTCTCTCTCTCTGTCTGACTGTTTACTGCTTAAAACTGCTTGTTTGTGTTCAGCTGGGTGGGCTGTGGGGGGCTGGTTTCACTTCTTCCTTTAGTGCTGCTGATAACTGTGGGTGTGTTGTGTTCAAAGTGTATCAAACATCCTTCAACTCATCAGGTAATTATTAAGCTCTGCATCAGTTGGGTCAGGTGTGTTAGAGTAAGAATACAGTAATATGTAGAGTGTTCAGTCTCCAAAACTGGATCTGAGCACCACTGTGGGTCAGTCTTTGAGAATATACCATAAAAACAACAAGCCAAAAAGACGACAAGTCAAAAACAGTCAAAACCAGGTTTACCAGAGCTGCAGATAAATTTGGTAAAGCTGGATTTTGTAACACTCAGATATAGAAAATTGTAGTTTTCTACAGACAAAGATATTTCAGTTGTGTGTGTTTTTGCTACAAGTTAACCTGAAGCATTCATAGAACTGAGGCTATGAAGGAGATTAACACTAATTCTGCTTAACTTTGGCTTTTTGACATAAAGGGAACAAAGGTCCATTTATCATCCCAAACAAAGACCTGGTTAAAAGGACTTGGCCTTAACCTTGAATCAGACCCTAAAAGTCATCCTCTAATCTCAAAGACTGTAAACTGTAGCTGCCATACTTGCTGTTCATCTACAGAGAGTTACTCAATACATCAACAGGGTTTCTCCCTGTAACTGCTGTATGAATGTCAGGTGAGGGTTCTGTTGGATTTCCTGGTAGAAGAGCAGAAGGACTTTAAGGCTACATGGGAGCTGCTAATGTTTACATGGGCTGAGTAGGAAAAACTAAACCTGGTGGACTTTTCTCCTCCAAATAAAGAGCAGTGAGTGCAGATCTGTTTAGGGATGTGTGATGTGGTGTTAAACATAGATCTGCTCAGCTTCTTGTCCGTTTCTGTGAACTTGTCTCAGGCAGATTCTTCGCGGCTTAGACACTAATTGTTAGCGGAACACGTTTCACCATCTGAACGCAGCTGCTTTGACACGGAGATGCTCTTTCAGATGTGAGATGCACGGCACAGACGTCTGGCACAGTCCTTGAGCTGCACACTGTGGTAAGCAGAGTCCACAGTGGCAGACACGCCCCAGATAGCATGCGGATGTGGGCCACTTCTGGCAGAGATATGGCACTGCAGGCCCATGGTCAGCACTGGATAACTGCATGTGAGCCAAAAGTGGCCCACATCTTAAAAAGCTTGTAAGGCCCACGTCTCAAAACAGATCTGGGCCTCTTCTGGCAGACACTGCCAGAGCATGATAATCATTTATATTTTAAACAGGGATTAAAAGGACTGTGGGGAGCATAGTTTACATTCAGGCCATATCTGGAACAGTACACTGTAAAAAAGCAACCTAAAATGTTTTAGCTTTTTTCATATTTGTTTGTTATTTCAACAAAGAGAAATGTCAGGTTAAAATGCTAATTGTAGTTAATTTAACACAATCTGCTCATTAAACAACAAAACTGATCTGAGGCTGAATGAACTGAACCTTTTCTGCACGTCACTTTATTATAAATCAAACCCATCTTTTTCTCAGTGTAGTGAACGTTTGGGACGTGTAGGCTGGTAAACTGAAGTAGCTGAGTAGTGCAATGGGCTGAATATTTGCTGCTCCATCAGGAAATCGAGTGTTCAAATCCCATCAGCACCACAGCCATCTGCAGCAGGAAGTCCAAGAGTGGGAAACACCACCTCTCCCTGAGCCTCATGGCACCGTGCAACATTCCCACCCAACAGGGCAGTTGTTGTTGTTGTTTTTGTAGTAGTGGTTTTGAGTGTTGAGTCAGTTCTGGCAGTGGTGGTTTAAAGGTGGCTGAGATGTGGCCCCTGTAATGGCAGTAAACAGGCTGGGTTCTGGCAACCGCATCTGGCCCACTCCTGTGCCATCATTCCATGTAGTATTTGGGCTGCAAATGCCGGATGTTTGGGTCATATCAAATGTGCTATCTGGGGCAGGTCACACAGGTCACAAAGGTCAGATATTTTTAAGGTTAGTGAGACGTGTTTTAGCCATGTCAAACTAGCCTTTCTGCCTATGTTGGAGGAACTACCAGACATGCCAACTGCTCTCCTATTAACTGCGCTGAGGCTGAAGGAAGACTTTTGAGGGAGGCTGAAAACCAGTGACCCTCAACTGACGCTCAGCTAAACGGTGAAGGCAGAAGTTCAATAATGCTACGATTTATAGCTGGATGTGACGACACAGTCAAGAGAAAAAGGTCTATTGTAGAAGAACATGTAGTGTGTTTGTTCTGAGGGAAATAATGGGAGTATAAACAGTGTAATCAGTGCAGTGGTGAATGAAGCTCCAGCTGATTCTCCTGTGCTCTTTATCACAGTGTACAGAGAGTAATGGTGCAGCAGGAACATGGCCAGTGAGAAAACCCACAGCAGCGTTCCTGCACGCCTCCCAGTTCCACACTCCAGGATCAGTAGTGGGAGTTTTATTGATCAGTGTGGGAGAGTGGAGCTCCAGGAGGCTGCTGGGAGGGGCTGAGGTGGGCTGTGGCTCCCTCTGCTGGTCGCTCTGCCTGTCGGACTCCATGGTGGATCACTCTGTCTAACAGCACACCAACTGCTACTGACCACTGTTTTCATCAGATCCAGTTAGACTCTTGGGAAGTTCTGCACTGTAGGAACACAGAACAACAGTGTGAGTCGTGTAGTGTGAAAGGAGTTGAGAGTGAAAGAGCAGCTTAAAATCAGACTCAAGTAAAAGTGTTGATACTTCAGTGAAATAATGACTGAAGTGGAAGTAAAAGAACAACTTGAGTAAAAAAGTATCAGATCTAAAATCTACTAGAGCTCTGAGTTTCTCTTTAGAACTCAGTCAGGAAGCTAAATAAATAAATAACAGGACAAGTAATTTGCTGTAGATGACAAATGTTGAGTGTACAGGATGTATTTGAATTAAATCATACGACAAACTCTAGACTGTGAGATTAGCACCTCTAAGGGGTTTGTAATCGAATGTTAGTGCCAAATTAATGGTGGTGAAAATATAGATTTTATAGCAGCTCAAACTTAAACACAGATATTCAAAGCTTATATCAGACATTCTGTTTACATAATTTTACTGTCTATGTTTCAATTTTACAGTGACTTCTTCAGTAAAGATTAACTTAATGTCTGTCTCTGAATATTATTGGAAGAGCCTGAATGTCTGTTTTTGTAAACAAACAATTGAACTAACATTTCATTTGA